TTGTTGTACGTTATTATATGCAAATTTTAAACGTCCGCTCTTCAAGCTTTTTCAAGCAAGGGGCAATATTCGATTATGGCCACTTTTGTCAAAATAACTATCAAATTAAGGGGAAAAAGTATAAGCAAAGAAATGATTATCAGTAGTTTTGTGACGTCAAAGTAAACAAGACGCTTAATGTGGATTCTAAGAAAATTAATGGATAAAAGTTGAAAAAATTGTTTAAAATGTTTAAATATTAATAAATATTATAATATTTTGTGCATTAGTAATTAACATTTAAGTGCGGTGTAATTAAAAATATTAGAAGTTTGTATTAATTATGAATTTTAGAGAAATTGATAAAAACAATATGGCGTGCGATTGTGAAATTCGTCGCAATTACTTATGTCAGTGGCTTAAAAAGAAAGAATTTTTGTTTAATTTATTTGAAAATAAATAAATCAAATTGCAAATCAAAATTCAGTGATTAATATGATTTTAAAAATATAAATTATATTATACATTGTTTTTTTAAAAAAATAAATAAAACTTATAAAGGGTTCGTGGTAAGCATAACCGTGGGAGCCTCTGTTCGAATTTAGAAGCAGCGCAGCAACAGAATTTTTACATATGAGTTGTGTTCGACTTTTTAATACAGGGTAAGTCAATAAAGAAATTCTTTCAAATATATATATAAGTGAAAATTGAATTGAAATTATTATAAAAGTAAAAGCATGTATATATATTATTATTTTAATACATAATCTGTATTTTTAATTATTGTTAATATATAAATTACAAACATTTAATTACAACTGGTTGACACACAAACAAAGAAAAAATTAAAACAAAAAAAATGTTAATATAATATAAACGACTACAATGAATAATTTTTATGAAATATGACTAATATAAAAAAAATATTTGAATTAAAATAAAATGAAGTTTCACAAAATCATGTAGATTATTTCATTATTTACTAAAGAGAGCCATAATACTAAAATCAATTCAACATATGGCCATATTATTTTTATAATTGATTTATCATATTTAGGGTAGGGACCTAAAATGGTCCAATAAGCCCTTTTTAACTGTGAAATATGACTTTGGGCATATTGTAAGAGATGCAATTTCACATATGGCTTTCTTGGCTGTGATGCAGTATACTTTTTTGGTAGATTAATGGAATAATCATTTTTAATCTGAAAATATTCTTATAAATAATGATATGATATGATATATCATTATGTTATGTTATATATATTTGATTTTGTCAGATATTGAAGAGAAATATTTAACTAGATATTATTTCAAGTTGTGGATGTGTATAGTTTCATGATAATGATCATTTTTAGTTTAATACATACTCTGCCAAAACTAAGTATTGGCATAGTTGGTCTATGAAAACTTAAAGACTACTATTAAAATAGTACGCACTATTTTTCTATGTTGCGAAAAAAGTTGAAAAGTAGTTCAAAAAAACAGTTTGATGAAATATAAAAAAATTATAATATAAAAACCAAAAATACTTTATATTTCAAGCAATAATGGTTTGGATATTATATGTACGAATATGTAAACTTAAAAGCTTACTTCAAGTAATGGTTTGGTCTTCGTTTTTACTTGATGAAATACTTAAATCATCTAAATAGTAGAGCAACTAGGTTTTAAATTGCTTTGTTCTATATATCAGGCTTTACAAACTTTAATTTAGGTATTTCAGAAGTTTCTCTAATATAAACTATAAATACTCCATCGGATTTTAGTTACAGATGTGCGAAAAATGTTAGGGGCCGTAGTTTAGCAGAAAATTCAACTGAATCTAGAACATTGCGTTTTATTGATAATATGATGTCTTTCTAGCAGATTTCCTAGTATATTCCATATATACCCCATTTGTGTCATAGATATACTATACGATAAATTCTATCCTATCCTATCAATTAAAGGAATGCGGACTACTACTGTAATGTGTCGACTACAGCAATAGTGTTCTTCCAATTCAGTTTCTGTCCTATAAATTAAAAGTAAGGCGTCAGTATTATAATCAACTATAGCAATATGAGTACTATACGTTCTATACTTTTTACTACATGTTTTCTCTCTAAGCGGATTTAATTATCACTTCGATATTTGTTGAAATTATTTTAAGCTGAGAACAGTATGTCATTTCAGAAGTTATCTGGCTAATTAGTTTAATTTAAGCAACTTCTATAGTCTTTTTTTATTAACCTTTGTTAATGTAAGGTATTCTGAGAGTTAGCTTATTGAATGACATTTTGAAAACATTATGTTGCGATTATCGGGTTAAAATTTTTTTTCAGTTGTCGTTGTTTAAGAGGAAACTGTTTTTGAATTTTTAGAAATAATTTTAATAATAAATCGTTCGTCCTTTTCTGTTTGTTGCTTCGGTCAATTTGTGATTTTGATGGCTGCTCTTGTTTTTAAAAGGATTAAATCAAGAGTTTAACAACTTTGATGCACAGTCCTTAGCTCCAGTTCAGAGGATTATAGACACTAGTTTGCGTTGTTGTATTGTTTTTTATTGTGATACTAAGGCTATATTGCTGTTGCTGCAGAATGTTTAAACACAAAATTGGGAATAAATTATAGAAATAATTCTTTATGTCCAAAAAACCAATAAAAACCAGCCTAGTAAACTTTTAAGAATATAACAAACAGAATAAATTAATTTCAAGAAAAACACATAATTATGATTCAATATTTTTATACTTTAATTGTTTTAAAAAAATAATTTTAAATTTTTACAATATAAAGAATATTACTATAGCTGCATCTCATGACAGTATTGATATAACATTTCAATACATACATTTTAAATTTAGTAAAAGTATTGTAATATTGTTTCACTTATACATATTTTGTTGATATTAATTTTTACAGTTTGAAAACAATAGATGTATAGAATATGAAAAATATGTTCGTTTTCGATATTCCCACTGTTAGTAAGATAATGAACGTAGGTCATCTGGACGTATATAGCCGATTTGTGCACCGTACTCTGGATGTATATAGCCGGACTGTGTACCGTAGTCGTATATAAAAATAATAACAGTCAACATTAATTTATAAAATTGTTCTTTTCGAAACATCTTTTGTTTGAAAATAATGAATTCACTTTTTTAAATATTTTAAAATACCACTTTCGTGCACTATTTATTTGTCCAAGTCTTATGAAATGCAATTACCAACTGCACTAAATATTCTGCGCTATATGATATATACTGAATAGTTAAATACTAGTAAATTTGCCGTATCAGTGCAGTATATTAGAACCATGACTAAAGATATTGAATAATAAAATATTTTTATTAGTTGTTGTGTATGTAAAAGTTGTCACGTGTATATGCAGAACACGATATTAAGAATATGAACGAAATAATTACACATTGCTTAATCTTTTTCTATAGGGTGCTTTGGAATAACATTATGGATATGTTACATATATGACAATACCTATAGCACAAAAGTTGCCATAATATGTAAATTATTCGTATTAAAATTATTACTACAAAATACAAGTTTTCATTTAAGAGAACGAAAAAATTAATGCATTTAGGTATTTAGAAATTATTCCATTCACTGCAGTATTTACTTCTAAAATCTGTACTCCTACTTCTTAAACCAAAGTAACGAATATATTGGGAGCGTAAAATAAGACATTCAATCATTCATTGCTCTAACCAGTTAATTAAGTTGTCTGTTGGTGGGATTATTGTCGATTTGACAACTAAAGCGTGCCTCTAGACTCGCTCATAACCCTTTAATGTAAATAATCCGGTAGTGTATTGTGTTATTTTCTTAATGCTGAATAAAATAAAAAACAGTCAACTACACGAGTATTAGTAAACTACAGTAGTGTAGAGATGAGATGAGATATTTGCACCATGAAAGGGAAATACAATCTTCTAGCATGATTTCTTCGTCTGCAATCACCTATGAGTAAACCTACCACAAGACTGATATCTCTAAGGGGCGTCTCAATGAGACTCTTGCATCTCTTTTTCATGAAACGTGGCCAAATGGCATTCTGATGTCTACATATCTTTGAGTGTTCCCATCTTTTATTAAAAAGTTCTTCACAGAAGGAACTCTGTAACTGTTTGTATGTTATTAGCGATATGCTCAGAATGTTTGAATACGAAGAGTATTGATAAATAGTCTATCTGAATTGTTTTAGGTTTTATTATTAAGTTCTGGATTCCCGCGTTGAGACTTGAGAACCTATGTTTAATGTTTGTTAGTGCTGTGGGCAAGAACGAACATTTAAAAAATCTGCCCAAGCCATCATTTAAAAGTGATTACTCAAAGATCTTACATAAAGTGGTTACGAGTAATCTAAATTAAGAAAGTCAACACCGATTTTGATCTCTTTTGGCCACTCTTATATTTTGTGGAGATTGCAATGAATATATGACTTAGGAATATTTTGCTTATGACGTTTTCGATTGGTAAATCTGGATTTAATATTCATTTGCTCTCGATCTGTTGTCAAACATTTTTAGAGTAGTCTAATATTTTTGTGATTTATATTTTATATAAATACATACTATATCGAATCAAGTCACACTTTATTTGTCAAGTTATTCTTGCTATTTTAGTAAAATATCTGGAGTGTTTTAAATTAATCTCGAGTTATACATTTCGCTCGAGATTTACCGTTCGGAAATGAAAAGTGCACTAAAAATGAATCTCGATTGAAAAAGCTACCCCTTATTCACCGATCAAAAATGGCATTAGAATAGAAGAGAAATATTTTATATCTCATATTAAAAAAATAAATGATAAAAATAAAAAGTAATTAAATAAGTTTTAATAAGCAATTATTATTTTTGAGTTATTTAAAAAAAAAATTAAAATACTTCATAGAACTATATAACTTTTTATTTTCCATTTAACAGTGAAATAAGAATGAGAATGTTAAAAATAACAATGAAACGGGTGAATTGATCACAGTTTATATACTCAGCTTTTTTTTATTTATTTCTACGGTATACGTAGCCACCATTAGCTGCGTACTCGGTTCCTCCAATCTGGTTCGAAGCACCATTTGCATTAGAAATGGTTACGGAAATAGGATTAACTGCTCCTGAAATGGTTGGGGTTGAGATTAAATTAGGGCTGAGATTTTGTGTTGGCACTAAAGAAGCCGTTGTATCGGCTATTGTCCCAGCGGGAACTTGATTAACTGTTTCCAGTGCAGCAGTTTGTGGTATTGCTGGAGCATTGTATTCCTGTAAAACTATAGGTGTCTGTTCCACTGCAAAAGTTTGTGGTACCGTATTGACAAGTTGATTTGATGATGTTGGTACATTTATGGGTGCAGCATAATTATAAGTACCAGAGGGCGCCTGACTTGAAATAGCGTAATTGATTGACTGTACTTGCTGTACTGGTGCCGCAGGTTGTGTTTGATATTGTGTGGCTATATTTGGTACAGTATAAGATGGTTGATAGGATGTCGTCTGTGGTAAAGCAGCGGGTGCAGCATAGTTCTGTTGTGGTTGGACTGAAATTGGAACAGCATAATTGGGGACCTGATTTTGTTGATATGTGGTGGTGTAACTTTGAGTTGTCGATGATGGTTGACTATATTGTGGAACTGGTAACGGAGGTGTAAAATAACTTTGTTGCTGTGCTTGTACGGTATATGTTTGGGGTGTTTGCTGTACTAAGTTTGGAGGTGAATAACTTTGTTGTTGCGTTATAATAGCACTGCCTTGTGCTTGACCAGATGTTGTGGAGGTAAAACTTAGTTGAGGTGCTGTTGCATAGCTCGCTGGAGAACTTTGAGCTGGTGGTATATATGATGAAGTTAGCTGTGGTGGTGCAGCATAGGTTCCAGAAGATGCAGGTGTGGAAGAAGCAGTAGTAACAATATTTTGTGTCTGAGATATTGGTACGGATAATGCTTGTGCTATTATAGTTGCTTCTGGTAAGCCATAGGTTTGTTCTGGTACAGATGGTGTTTCTTGATTAACTGCTATTGTAGCTTGAGCTGGGATATTATTTTGCTGTTGCGCTTGAACTTGTTGTGTTGAAGTGACACCGATTGAATTGTCCTGAACAGCAGGTACGTAATAGTTTTGTGGCTGAGGTAACTCAACTGCAGGTGCTACAGAAACTGCTGAGGAAGAATAACCACCATTGGATGTTGTGTGTACTGTTGCTCCTTGTTGTTGAATTGAACCTGCAGATATTTGTACTGTATGTTGTGCAGCTGGAATGGTATGTATCTGTGGTGTTGAGATTTCGAATGCTGGCGATGCTGGAATACTGGACGAAATATATCCACCATTTGCTGCGTTATGTACTGTTGCACCTTGCTGTTGTACTAAGTTAGTAGTTACTTGCGCAACATTTTGAAGCACAGGTTTGGATGGTATCTGTTGAACTGATATCTCAATTGCTGGTGCAATTGAAGGACCAGATGGAGCATAGCCACCATTTGTCGCTGTTTGTACTGTTTGTTGTTCAATAGAGCCTGCAGATACTGCTTGTACTGCCGGTGTAGACTGTATCTGTTGCACTGTGGCCTCTACTACTGCTGGTGCCGCAGAAAGACCTTGATATTCGTAGCCATTATTTGTTGGAGTATTGGTTATAGAACCAGTTGTTGCTACATTTGCTACTTGCGACACAGTGGTTGCTGGTGACCCATAAACTTGTGTTAATGTTTGTGCGCCAGTGTTGCCTCCCTGCAGTTGTGTTGAAGCTAAGCTTTGTTGGGTGTTTGTTGCAACTTCCAAGTTCGAAGTTTGTACAGGATTTGTTTGTATTGCAGAAACGGCTGGTGCACCATATACAGTGCTTTGGCTACTTACGGATGTTGCATGTTGCGTTAGAGCTGCAATATTGCTTACATGTTGGTTGTGTGTGCTGCCGTGGTGTAGTCCACTCAATACTTGGTGTACAGGCTCGACGCTTTGTATGGAGAAACTGGCTAAGTGTATTGAAGGTCTGATCGATTCAACTTGTGCGAAAGGAGTTTTGCTGTATCTAAGAAAATCGTTTCGGGCTTCTTGTAATGGCAATTGCTGCAGTTGATATTGTGCAATATTTTGTTGCTGTTGTTGTTGCTGTGGTTGTGGTGATTGATATTGCAGAGTATTTTGTTGCTGCAGCGGTTGTAGTCCACTTTGTTGTTCCACTGGCTTATACTGCAATGATCCAGTGTTGCTAGCTGCAGTCACTGCATTGCTACTCTGCGCATGTATTACGAGTTCTTCTTTGGCTGGCACTGGTGGCAGATATTTGCTTAATGGCAGATGACTGACATCTGCCTTGATAATACTGGCTATCAAGGCCAAACCAATGCATACACAAAGTTGCTATAAAATATAAGAGAAAGAAGGTTTTTATTAATCATTAATCTCACGTAACAAGTAATCTTTTTATTTCTGTTGCATAATGTACATATATAGATAGATATATTTATAAAAATATTTTCAAGAAATGTTTTCACATATAAAATTTTTGATTTTTGGATTTTAATTTTTTTTAAGGGTCACAAAGGTTTCATTAAACACTTTTATTTTTCACTGACCATAATTTCACTGTTTTTGCTTTAAATTGTGTGTACTTAATCGGACGAATCGAAATCTGAAACTGTTGCTCCAACAGTGTTAAGCTTGACAATTTATATGGCCAAAAAACCAAATGATGTACCCCAAACTTATGTAGCCGCTGCTGGCAAGTTTGGAGAGGTCTCACGATGCGCCAATTGTGTCTTTGTATTGTTTGCTTGACTTTGCTACATTGACGCCGCAATGTTTAATTGGGCTATCATCGGATGAGTCGCCTTTGGTCATATCAACTATAAGCTGAAAATGTGTTAAATTATGCATAATAACGAAATCCAAAATCTCAAAATGGTCAAAATGTTCAAAACATACATAATTGAGTTGAGCTCTTTGCAGCCGTCGTCCAAAATGAGAAAAACTGTGTAGGTACCGTTTAGTAGGGGACGCAGTTACTTTTGCACAATGTATCTCATTTTTGATAATAATTTTTTTTACAAATAAATCAGTCTAGCACTTTTAACTGCGTTACTACAAAAACAATAAAAAAGCAAAAATATTAACATAAAATATTTTATAAGATACAAAAAAAAATAAATATTAAAATGAATTTGAGGAAAATTGAAGACTCGTGCAAAATTTCTTTTAAGTGAAAGGAACGCAGCTTACGAGTATTTGACTAATTAATGATTTTATGCAAATAATTTTCAAATTAGTTTTTGTTTTCAACAATTTTTTTATAAGCGCTTTTTTTGCAATTTAAGTTTTGTAAGAAATTTTGAGTTTGCTCGGTTTTTCGTCAATTTAAATCCGAATGCAAATAAATAATTGGAAGCTCATTAAAGGTTGCACATTTAAATTATATTAAAAACGGATTGTAAATTTATTCAGTCAAAGTAGACAAAAGGAAAGCACTACCTTAGCATTCTTAAAATTTTAAAGAAGAAAGTATTTAGTACATAACTTATGCCGTAATATCTATAGATTACTTGAATTGTATATTATATCAGATAGATATAGAATAGCAGTATGCGTGTTTCGAAGTACACTCCAGTAGTGTTTTGAAACTCGGAACAAAACTTCTTATACTAAGGCAACTCTGGCCAAAAATATGCCACAAAATTATAGAAATTCTTTAAGTTTGTCGAATAATAGTGACGTTTTATTCCATTATGTCCGCTCATTATTTGGTATAAAAGAGAGATGCTTAATAAATCAGTTAATAATAAAAATAAGGAGTTATATATTTACCTTTTTAAAAATTATTTATAACATAGTTCCTTTCGAGACATTTATTCTTGTTTTATTAATTTTAATTTTTATTATATGTTGAAAAATATAATTTTTTGACATTTTCACAATATATATTAGTTGTAAATATTAGTTTTTAACAGTGCCAATTTATTCACACAAGGTGGCTTTGATGATCCTATGATAAGTGAAAGAAGAAGTTATTTGTCTTTAAATTGCATCAGTATTCCAATTTTTTTATATTCTCTAATTCTGAATTCAAATAGAATCCTTTGAGGTCCTTAAAAACATGAGGACCTTATTCCTCATTCATTAGTTGGAATGATTACGTCTGAACTCGATTGAAATTTTTTTTAAAACGTCATGTTTTTACGTTTGGAAATTAATAATAATTAAGTGTAGACAAATCTGGTTGGAAACGGTAATATCTAGTGATATAATTTAATTCATTTAGTTTTCGAGCTGTTGCTTATTTACAGAATTTATTACTTTGAAGAAGGTAGAACTAAATGAATGAGCCGCTGCATTATCGCAGTGCAACGAGATTTTTTCTCAAACGTTTTAATTTTTATTTCTAAGAAGCTTATATAGCTTTTCCATCTAGTTAAATGCTCTGTATAATATTGTCACGTTACTGGTTTACCTATTTCAAGTTAGTTAATCATAATTATTTCTTGAGTATTTCTAAAAAAGAAGACGTGCATTGTTACCACAGCTTTCTTGTTACCAGTATTTAATCAACAAGTTTTAATAGATACTTATAGGATTGTTTAATTTGATAATACTATGATTTGATAATATCTCAATTTATATATCATAAAGTAGAAATTACTAATTCAAATTTAGCATTTCTATATTATATCTTCATAAAGTACCTCTACTTTGAAAAATAAAATATCATACACCATATGTTATTCACTCTATATGTAGGGCGTAAATTTTTAAAACCAAAAATTCAAAAGGTTTTTTTTTTTGTTTTAAAAACTAAAAACAAAAACAAAAAATCAAAAAAAAAAAATAGAAAACAAAAACAATTTGTCAATAAATCAAATAAAAGTTATGTAAAAAATTCACAGCCATGTGAAAAAATAATTTGTGTAATATTTTGAACCTTTGAGTTTTGTTGTGAACATCTGGATTTGAAGACTCAATTTGCGTTGCAGGCTATGAATATTTATATTTCCTGCCTCAGAGCAAAATTGAGGGCATTTTTAAGAATTAGGTTCATTAATCTAATAGATTAAGTTTTGCATGTGTTTGGCATACATTCAAAATTTTTACCTTTAATATATTATATTTTAATAGTTTTTTATGTACATTTTTTTTTGTTTTTTGAATATTTTAATCAAATGCAAAATGCAACCAACAATTATCTGATTAATAAAATGATGAATGATATCGAAATGTATCTTACAAAAGAGTTGAGTTGAGAGAAATAGAATTGTATAGAATTGTATTAAATTAGACAAAAAGTTGAAAATATAACAAACTAAACTAAATAATATCAGATTAACATATTTTAAAATAATTGTAACAGTATTAGAGTTCATTTAGGTATAAGGAAATCTAGAGTAAAAGGAAATACATTTGATGAAAGCATCTAAAGGCAATAAAAAATATTATTATAAAATTTATTAAAATTTATTAAAATAATATAGTTTAAGAATAGTTTTGATAGTACCTGAATTAAACAACTTTAGAAATAGTACACATAAGGATGTTGGAGCATAAAGGGTGTGATATCAATCCGATTTTACTCAGATTGTAAAATCAGTTATTAATCTAACCGCAGTTTGGCACGATTTTCTCTTCCTTTATCAATCATCTTCTTCTTTATTAGCTAATTTTCAATTCTTCTCACTTTATGTATATTTAGTTAACTAAATTTTAAGATATTGACCCCTATTGTCTGCCTTGGTTACGAATTATAGTTGTTGGTTCTTTAAGGACAATGGGCAGAAATCTTTTAACAGTGCATTTTTAAAGGTAGTCTGAATGGATTAGAGTGTTATACGAAAACTTTTGTCCACATATAACAAGAAGTACATCGTATGTTTTTTAATTACATACATAATAATCTAATGTAAGCCATGTTTCGGGTATTGTTTGGTTCAGAAATCGCTAAATTAAAGTAGTTATACCTAATCTTTTTATTAAAAAATTTTGACGTAAGTTTTTGATAAGTTCTCTTTAACCAAAATTATTAAAAATTTTAGTACAACATGGCCAATAAGATCTAATTGATTTTTCTTAATTTGTAATGTATGAAACAAGTATAAAGTCGCTAAATGACGGAACCTGTTAGTCTTACATATCTATATAGTACGTTCCTCTTGTAACATGCTCGGGTTTCAAGAACTCAAAAAATCAGTTGGCATTCAATGCCATGCGTCGTCTTTCATTGTAAGTGTTTAATATTGTTCAATCAGACCCTTAAGTACAGATTTGATATGAGCTTTGATGCAATACCTCGTTAAAAATGTTCACTATAGTTCTCCTTCATTATATTTATCTTTATTTTTTATCTTTTAACTTTTACCTCTTGCCTTTTATCTTTCACCTTTTATATTTTATCTTTTATTCTTTATCTTCTGTTTCTTATATTATATATTTAATGTCTAATTTTTTAAATTTTATCTTTTATCGTCTATCGTTTAACTTTTATCTTTTTCATTTTCCTTTTATCTTCTATTTTTTATTTTTTATCTTTTATATTTATATTTTATCTATTATATATTTCGTTTTATCTTTTATCTCTTGTCTTTTTTCTTTGATCTGTTATCTATTATCATTTATCTTTTGTCTATTTCCTTTTAACACTTATTTTTTATTTTTGATATTTATATTTTATTTTTTCTGTTTTTCGTTTCATCTTTTATCTGTTATCTTTTATCATTTATCATTTATGTTTTGCATTTTAGCTTTTATTTTTTTCTTATATCTGTAATTTTTTATCCGTTATCTTTTATTTTTTATCTTTCGTCTCTTGTCTTTTGTCTTTTATCTTATATATTTCATCTTTTACCGTTTACCTTTTATCTGTTATCTTTTATTTTTTATCTATCATCTATTATTTTTTATATTTTATCTTTTACCTTTATCTTTATTTCGTTTATTAGTTTAATTTCTTTTATCATCGTCATTTTTGTGCTTTGGCTTATATAAATATACATTTCTGTATGTGTGCCTTATTAACTTCTTATCCTGATCTTCATATTCGAATCAGTGCAATTTTCATTACGTATTCTTAAGTTTAAATTACGCATCCTGGTTAGAGTCAAAATTTAATTCAAGTTTATGAAGAAGTACTTAAGCTTCTTTGCATAAGTTGAGATTCTATGCCTATTTCACCAATTTAAACGATTTCTATAATGTGTAAAAATTTATAAAAATACATATTTACGGGTGTAGTACATGTCGGTGACAATGCTTTAACAGATTTGAAATTATAAATTGATCTACATTAGGTTGACCATCAAATTTATATATATAAATTTGATGGTCAACTATATATTATTTGATGATAGTATATAAAGTAAACATATCTATTTTTAATAACCCAAAAATCTATAACTGGATTAATGTTTCTTATTTTATAACCAAAGTTTTTATTTAAAATTTAATAGTTCTTTATTATTATAAATAATTTATATGTTTAAATTTTTGTTTAACATAATACAACGATAAAAGTTATCGTATATAATATAAGATAAATATTTTGCTGACAAAGTGATTAAATGCATGCAAATCCCTAACAATGCGTAGATGTAAAGAAAGGTGCGGCAACTAATTAAATTAATTATGCGACGACCTCTACGTATTATCTAAATACCATTATTTACCAAAGTAATATTTATTGAAATGATATGTTTTAAAATGGCAAACATTTTATTGATTTATTAAATGTAAATTTCAATATTTGAATATTTGCAGCGATTTAAAGGTCGCATACATTCAAATTAGCACCAAATTTGTTCAAATATTCGCTTGCATATTTTTGCATAAATTAACTGATAAATAAATATAATCTAAAAATTTGAAAAATTAAAAAAAATTAAAAAATAATGTACAAAATAATGTAATAAAATGATAACAAGATAAAAAACATTTGGACCATAAGTCACGCGTCTCTGACACTTGTTTTGCAAATCGCAAATCTACTGAAATTATGTAAATAATTGTAGATACTTTTTCATTTTTGTGGTAGCACAGTGAAGTGCTTTTCTGGTTAAATATTTAAAAATCGGTTGAAGTGCTTTTAAGGCAACAGATACGCTGGCACTTGAGTGATAAGTGGCTAAATAAAAAGAAACAATAAAAACAAATAACGCCAAAAATGTTGAGAATTCCCACACACAAAATTGTGTAAGATGAAAAGTTTTATTTCTTTGAAATTACCATCAAAATTAAAAGAAATAAGTTTAAATAAGTTTAAATTAATCACAGGCCCAATAAGAAACAATGTAAAGCAGTGATTTATGGCTTCTCATAGACATAGCCGCCATTTGAACCATAAGCTGTATCACTTGCGACAAGTCTAGAAGAAGTGCGTGGGAAAAAGCCACCAGGCTGTTGTCCAAAACCATTACCAGGATAAAATGATGGACCACCAATAAATCCAGCACCACTATTTGGAAAACCAGCATTTGGAAAACCAATATTAGGAACACCAGTATTAGGAAAACCAGCATTTGGAAGTCCAGGATTTGCGAAACCAGCATTTGGAAGTCCAGGATTTGCGAAACCAGCATTTGGAAGTCCAGCATTTGGGAAACCAGTAGTTGGAAAACCGGGATTTGGAAATCCTGTGTTAGGAAAAGCGCCACCTGGATAGCCACCGTTCGGTATACCAGCATTTGGAAAACCTGCATTTGGAAAACCTGCATTTGGAAAACCTGCATTTGGAAAACCGGCATTTATTAAACCACTATTAGGGAATCCTAAGTTTGGTAATCCACCATTTGGAAATCCACTATTTGGAAAACCTTGTCCGGGGAAAGCTTGTGGATAATTTTGATAACCACCATAGTTTCCACCAAAAGGTGAAAGTGGTGAGGGATCCTGTACAGCTTTATCACTATCAGTATTTTGGTCATTTTCTAAATTAATTCCTGTTTCATCTTGTAGCACGACAATCGGTTTCTTTGGTTCTATAAAATGTTCCTCAACTTTTTGGAAAGTAAATTTTGGTTTTGGATATGAATAACCCAAATGCTTGACATCTGCTTTGATTGCTGTGATCACAGCCAATGCCAAATATACGTAGAATATTAATTTCTGAAATAAGAATGAGTAATATTAGAAAATAATAATTTTAAGCGAAATAAAATACCATTTTCTTAATTTAATTTTTTTCTTAATTTTTTTTAAGTTTATGTAGTTTGACACAAAGTTTTACTTTTCTATGTTGTAGGTTAGATTTAAAATGAGTAACTAAATATTTTTCTGGACTTGCTTAGCATTTTATAGTTAAAAATTTTTTTTATTATGAAATAAAAAATATTTATTTGTTCTCACTTTCTTCGAAAGAACAAACCTACATAAATTCTAAGACAAACGATTTTAGGAACTATAAAAGAACACATAATTTACACAACATATATTAGATAAAATTTTATTTAACCATATAAAAAATGAAGATTATAAAACATTAGAGATACAAAATGAATTGGTGTATTAACTTTGTTGACTATTATGACAAGATTATTACTATACACACAAAAATCTAATATGAAATGTCTAAAACAATTATGTCTCATTGGACATACACCGTTATATTCTTATACACTGATGAGAATTGGTATATTAACTTCGATGATTTTTTTGACATAAAATTATTATAAGAAAAATGAATATGAAAGCTCCTAAATTTTCAAGGCTCCCTGTTGTCCTGTTGAGAGGATACCTTAATTAATTCGTATACGCTCATAATTTTGTAACTAAAACTGCATAGAAGCTTTCGAGCCTTCGAGTCTTAATAGTTAATAAGGCTGAACCAATAATTTTATAATTAAATATTATATATATGATTATATAATATATAGTGTAAGAAGTTTGTGCGAAATAACGAAAAGAAGCAACCAGTTATATATGTAAAAGGAACTTTGAATTAAGCAGATTTCTTTAGCGATTTTAAGCAAGCGACTTAGCTCATAAGTCGATTGATGGTTAATATTTATTTAGTAAACTTAAAATTTCTAAAACACTCACTAAACTTGCTTGTTAGCGTCAGTATTCACTGATTTTAAATTATTCGATTTTGTGTAACATGGTACATAGATGTTAAAGCTAACTTCCGATTGAATTACTCCGACCGCTGAGTAATTGATGATTCTTAAACTAGTTCAATTATATGGACTATAGTAGACAGAGACTGAAGTTCAATAGGTACATTGGACCAAGGAGAAAAATACGCAGGTTAATTTTTTAGAAAATTTTTTAGATAGCAAATTGATTACCTCTCATATTTTTTTAATTTTTTTTAGATAACTGACTTTCAAAAATTAAAATGACTTCTACTGTAAAGACAATATCACAGGGTTTGATTTAACGAAAAACATATTGTCTAGCAATATAAACAATTTCAAATAATCCCTATCCGGTTTTTATAAATGTTTATTTTATTTTATTATATTTATTCAATGTTTTATAAATGTATTGAATTATAATAGTGTATTAAAAAGTCGTTTAGTACTGGATAAAAATACTCTATACATAGCATACACAACATTATAAACATATAAGTTTTTATTTTCTGGTTTCTAAAATGGTAATTTGACGATTGAATTCATTTCAACAATGGTGAGAACTATTGTGCAATAAATTAAGATACTTCAAAATTTTGGCATGTTTAGTGCCCACATAATTAATAATCGTCAGATATTTTGACAATTTAATTAGAAAGGTTAATGCACTCATAAGTTTCGTATGAGCATATTGAAGAAGGGTTAATATTAATGGATTCCCTCACTTTTTTGTTCTAAAATTTTGTATATATAAAATGAAAATGTTTTAAAACTATCTGCATTATTTGATTTATTAATTACTCCTTATATGACAATATATGATAATTAAATATATACTTCACAGCAACTTACGAAGTTTAAAAATCCTGCATGTATACATTATTTCAACAATTTTTATCTTAAACGCTGTCGAATCTGCTTCGATATTCCATAAAGATTTTTAATTGGACTTTAATGTTCTACCCTAGGTGTGATTCTAAATATGGTTTCAATTCTGAATATGGTTTGTTTTTCAAAACAACTTAATAATAATTGTCTCTTAAGATATGGTTACATTTGCTATTAGAAAAATGTTAGTTCAAGATCGGAACTGAGAAGAAGACTAAACTTTTTTACTATTGATTAGTTTTTTACCGCAGATCGTGTAAACAGTTCTTTAAGTATTCGATTGGAATTATGTATTCCTTTCTTTTTCTCTTTGTTTTGGGAAGGTAAGTAGCTTAAGTTCATATCAATCAACACCTGAATTCTTCCGTTTGGTTCTAATATGATCATCATTCTTCTACCCATTATTGCGAGGAATTGTAATATAAAAAGGCTTTCTTAGCTAATTGAGTAAGATTTGTTCCTCTCTCCACTTCACTTAACCTAACTTAACTTGCTACCGTTGCACTGAGAGACACTAATATTGTTGTCAGTTAAGTAATTGATTAAAGTGGTCACACTTTAAGTTGGTCCAGTGTTGTATTAGGATGGTAAACTATTTTTGAGGAGAATATTAATTATTTTTACACATTTTTTTTAGTTGCAATCCCTTAAGAATCTGTGAAGATCTATATTTACAATGTACCACGTAGCATTCAATACTTTTTCTATACTATATGTTGACGAAATTAAAGCTTATTGTTAATCGTAGTAGCAGTTTTTCCTTATGTCACGCAAACATATAACAGATATTATAACTTATAAAGTCTTATAACTTTTTTGTACAGAATTACTCGCTTTTGAATACTTAGTTGCTTAGATTAATAATGGCTAATCTAGATTAATAATTAATTTTATCATTTAGGTATATGTGCGTTCCATAAAAAACTGTTATCCAGTGTTAAATCTATGTATTTAACAGAGTTACTGTAATAATATTGTTGTTGCCAGAAGATTTGAACTTCTTGGATTTTCATGGATACCATTTTAATTTTCAATTTATTGCAAAAAAAAAATAAGTTCGACAATATTGTTGTGTAGGATATCCATGATTTGATAAGATTTCTTCCTTTAGAAGAAAATGCAGGTACCGTTTGCGAATAGTGTATAAATTTCTTTAATGAAATGCTTTTGTGATTTCGCATTCCTCGCATTTAGCAGGAGAGGATTTTACGTTTTTTAATCAGTCGTAAAAGGTTATCATTTATTCATGTTATGTTCATGATAAAGAGTTTTACATAAATCGAATGTCTACCATATTTCGAATGTCTAGAAGGTAGCGCCATCTGTGTGTCAGTCGTACGACTTATTGACTGATGTATTATTTTGTTAAGTTTTTTGGAACTCATCATGGAAGTACTTAAAATCGAAAACAAAGCTTTTTAGAACCTGTAAAATATTATAACAAAAGAAGAATTGAAAACAACATTTTCTAAAATTATTCACAGTTTTATGAATAAATTTTATTAATATTTGCTAATATTTGCAATGAAGGAAATGTTAGAAATAATTAAATTCCAAAGCTATCTTTATTATCAGGCCAAATCCATTCGATCTACCTAGGTTTATATACTTACGTTTATATTTGTCTATGTAAAATAATAAGAAATATTTTTTTTTTCTTTTAATAAATTTAATGCTTGCATGTATTTTTGAATGAAATGATAATACCGATAAAAAAAAATAATATTATATATAACAAATCATTTGATCTATAAAAATAAAAAACAAATACTGTGATCACATTTTCTAACGGCTTACTTCTTCTTTCTGTATACATAACCACCATTGGCAGCATATTGAGTGCCAAGATCAGCAGAAGCACCAGAATAACCACCAGAGTATGAACCAGAACCGGAGCTAGAGAAGCCCAAAGATGAGCCAGAGTAACTTGGTGCAGAATATGATTGCACAGCTGGTGCTGAATAAGATTGGATAGCTGGGGCTGAGTATGACTGAACAGCTGGTGCTGAGTATGATTGAACAGCTGGAGCTGCATAGCTTACTGATGGAGCAGCATATGATTGTTGTACGGGTGGCAAGTATTCGTTAGCTGGTGCAGATACAGGTGCGGAGTATTGTTCCTGTACAGCATAGCTTTGTGCGATGGGTGCTGAGTAAGATTGTACTGGTGCTGAATATGATTGTTGAGCTCCAGAATAACCACCGGAATAACCACCGGAATAACCACCAGAATAACCACCAGATAAACCTCCAGAGAAACCACTAGATGATGAGTGAGATGAGAAGGATGGTGCAGAATAGCTAGCAGATGGTGCAGAATAACTTTGTTGTACAATTGGTGCAGAATAGCTGCTAGCTGGTGCTGAGTACGATTGTTGTACAGGTGGCAAGTATTCGTTAGATGGTGCACTGTAACGATTTGGTGGCAAGTACGTATTCGACAAATGGCTGACATCAGCCGAAGCGAATGCGACCATGGCAAGTGTTACAGCAATGAAGAATTTCTGTAATTAAAGAAAATAATATAATTAATATGAATTATAATGTAGACTTCTTAATTATTGTAAAAAATGTGCAGTTGTTAATTTAATTGCACAGAGAACGTAATAATTGATTGATAGCTATATTGGAGAAGTGAATGTAAGTAAATATAATAAGCAGTTCAAATTATTATAAAGTTACAATTTATGTGCTTAGTTTTCATTGAGAAAACTATGATTGAACTGTGAAATGAAATTATTTAACTCATTTTACAATAAAAAAGTTAAAACTTTCTTTATTAGAAATTAAAGATAATATTGGAATCATAGTAGCATTGCTGAGAAAAGCTTATTTGGCGGTTATTTAAGAACTGGTATTGTTAACACCTTCTTAGCACTTTTGTTAAAAGCTATTTATATACATTATAGTTTGCTTTTATTAAATGTGGTATCTTAATATGTTTCCATATGTTTCGAATTCTTTTGATTATAAACAGAAGGAACTTTATTTGTTTGAAGCGTATTTCCTTTTAATAAAATTTCGAGTCCTAAGTTTCAAATCTATTATCTTTCCATGTCACTTTAAAAACTTTGTTAATTATTTACTTTAATTATCATACAAAATAAATAAAATTTGTATGAATCGTTTATGGATTCCATATGAACACTCTAATTATATTGCTCCACTTCATTTAAGTGCACTTTAAAGTACTCCTTTAGTTCACTTCACTACTTATGAGATATTTAGTGTTTATTCATAGTCATTCACTTGATTGCAATTAAAAAATAA